TTCTACCTTAATTTTGTCAAAAAATTAAATCACATATTTTTTTTAATTTAGAAGTTTATTGTGCCACAAAATAATAGTTTGGAAGTGAGAGACAGCACTGTTTAAAACGTAAAGGAGGAAGCCGGGCGTTGGTGACACAGGCCTTTAATCCCAGCACTCGGGAGGCAGAGGCAGGTGGATCTCTGTGAGTTCAAGGCCAGCCTGGTCTCCAGAGCGAGTGCCAGGATAGGCTCCAAAGCCACACAGAGAAACCCTGTCTCGAAAAACAAAACAAAACAAAAAACCCGTAAAGGAGGAAGTGATGGAGGTCTTACACAAACTATGGCCTCCATTTTTATTTGTTTGAAATTATACTTCCAAAACAAACATTCCCACCCAGTTCTGCCCATCACAAGAAATCCCATTCTCTGCAGTTTCTTCATTCACTCAAGAGCCCAGACCTCCAGGCAGCACACCAGGGTCCTAGCAAGCTCAGCTCCTAGGACAGTATGAAGGGCTTTGGTGGATTTTGTCAGCCTAGTGGTTTCACAGGGAACCCTTGTCTTTTCCCAGTGAGTAGAAACACGACGGTGCAGGGAAGCAGGGAGTGGGCTGGCTGCTCCTTCTGGGTGGTGGGCTGATGTGTGGGGTGACCTTGTATCCGGACAGCAGTCTCACACAGGGCTCTTTGGATCAATGACAGGTGCTTCGGAAATTCCTGCCTACTTCTTTATGTGCATCTTGATGCAGAGGGTGGGAAGAAGAAACACCATAGTCTCCTGCCTTTTGTTGTCCTCCATCATCTGTGCTATATACATAGCCATACCCTGGGTGAGTCATTTGGTTTATTTATGGAATGGCTGTGGCAGTTTCAGGGAAGGACTTTCAGTGTCTTTTAGTATGAAGACGATTTCAGACATATAGACACCGTATATAGATACTATTTAAAGGTATCATTTTTTTCTTCTTTTGTTTTTTTGATGCAGGGTTTCTCTGTGAAACAGCTCTAGCTGTCCTAGAGCTCGCTCTGTAGACCAGGCTAGTGTCAAACTCACAGAGATCTGCTTGCCTCTGCCTCCTGAGTGCTGGGGATTAAAGGAAAGTGCCACCACCGCCTGGCTTAAAGGTATCTTCTTAAAAGACACATTCTTTCTCTTTTATGTAAATACTGTGTTACTTGTAGGGGGATGACTTCTCTCTCTCTCTCTCTCTCTCTCTCTCTCTCTCTCTCTCTCATTGTATTTTAGAAATGCAATAATTTCCTGGGAAGAAAGTTGATTATATCTGCCAGTGGTTCTGGAATTTTCTTTCTTTGAAACAGGTTTTCTTATAGCTCAGGCTGGCTGGCCTCAAACTCATTATATAGACAAGGATGACCTTGAACTTCTTATCTTCCTGTCTCCTCCTAAGCATTGGGATTGCAGGTTTACACCACCATGTCCAGTTCTATCTAGTGCTTGAGACTGAATCTCAGGGCTTCATGCATGTCAAGCAAGCATTCTACCAACTGAGCCATCCTATTCCCAGCCCAGTGTAGGGAACTTAACACCCACTCACTTATTCACCTAACAGGATTGAGCCAGCAAGAATTATACAGCCTGTAATGAAGACCAGTGAATCAAGTTTTTGTAAATGAAATGAAAAACAAAACAGGATGAGGGAAGGAGAATGACTGCACATTTGTGTGGAGTGTAAATTAGAGAAAGGGTGGGCGGTGTCTAGGGTGATGCACCTCTCAGAGCTGACACATAGCACATGACCAAGGAGAGCATTGTAAGAGCCCTCACTTACTTACTGGGTCAATGTCACCTGATATGGCCACAAGGAATTAAAACAGCTCAGGCTGGAGGGGCCATAGCACAAGTGAGGCTGTGACAATTTTATCGAGAGTCATAAGATTTTTCATACCGTTATCAGAAACAGACTATAATGGCAATTGCTAGGATCAATACAGTTGTAGTTGTTAGGATACAGTGATGTTTGCAAGCCGTACAGGGTACACAAGATATTGATGTCTAAAACCAATTGTCCTGTCAAGTTTACATGCTTCTTTGACTACTAAGGGAACAAACAGAGAAACACAAAGTGGCCTGAACTGTTCACTGCTTGAGGGAGTGCATCAGTCTCTCAAGAACTGGAAGATACACTGTGCCCCAGAAGCCATGGACTCTAACGACACAGAATTCCATTCAGGGGTGACGTTGGAATACATGAGTCTCAAGGCTGTAACTGGGCCTCAAGATGGGGGGTGGGAAATTACATGGAAACAGTACAGTGTATGGGGATCCAAAAAAGGGGAGGAGGAACTTCCTGAAGAAGAGGTTTCATTAAGTGTGTGTGTGTGTGTGTGTGTGTGTGTGTGTGTGTGTGTGTGTGTGTCAGAGACAGAGAGAGACGGGGGCGGGCATTAGAGTGATGGCCAGGGAGGGGGAACCTCCGGACCAATCTCCTGAATGAAGAACCTTTTAGAGGTAGCAGAAAGTCTCCTATCATGTGAATTAGCTCAGCAATGATATATGTGACAAAGATCACAGGGGAGCTAAGTGTCATGAACAGAGAGCTGTCAAGGCACAGCACAGATTAACTTTTAACTCTGTCCCAGAGAGAGCTGCAGGAGGGCATGGCTTAGTCTGGGTAGTGGGATCTATCCTGCATGTACAGGCCAGTGTTCTAAGAGTCAGAACCCTGAATAAAGGAGCCATGAGGACATCTGAATGACATGATGAGCCAAATGTTCAGCTTGTCTCTGTCTTTCCCACAGCTGGCCAGCGATTTTGAATGTAATGTTTATTAATCGTCGGAGAAACTTGGATTTAAACAATTATATTTTATTACTTAAAAGATTACATGTATGTGTGTGCCTATGTGTAGGCATGTGTATGGTGCCTATGGAAACTAGAGGCACTGGATCCCCCTGAAGCCAAAATTATAGTCAGTTGTGAGCCGCCTGGCAGTGCTGGGTCTTCAGCTTGGCTCCTCTGCAAGAGTGGTACTCATTTTTAGACCCGGAGGCATCTCTCCCACCCCCTATCCCAAACCATGGTTTTTAAAATTCAGTTTCTTAATGAGAAGTGCTCCTTGGAGCGATGGATGGAAACAACTTTTTCATTGCTGCATTTGGTGAAGGACAGCACATACAATAATCATGGCATCTAGAAGACCCTAATCCAATGCTACCAGAGCCTGAATTTTAATTCTAATTTGGAAACTGTGGTCACTCTAGCCATAGTTTAGAATAGCTTGTGTCATTTTTTTTTCAACAAATACTTTTACTAAGTGACAGTGTAGCGATGTTTAGAGCAAAGCATTTTAACTTTTGCTTATTGCTTGAAAGTTAGCTGAAGCTGTTAGTGACGTCCTTTAATGGCAGCATTACCTAATAATGAGGGTTGGGGAACCGAGTTTCACATCACCGAATTTCCTAGTGATTGGCACACAGTTAAAACTCTGCAGGGCAGGAAAGTCTCTGCCAGTTTGAGAGAACTTTATCCATGCCTTTAAAAGGGAGCTGAATTGGCTGATGGCAGCCACTTTTGGATCTAGCAGAATCTTAAAAATGTTACATTTCTTAGTAGGAGGGAAGAGAGAGGAGAGAGGCTGCTGGAAACTTCTAGAAATAAAACAGTAACTCACAATTTCAAATTTATTTCCTTTAATGAAATTTCTCCCTCAAAGATAATTTCAACATAGTACAAATAATTAGTTTTTTTATTCATGCTAATCGGGGCTGAACCTGTAGCCCTATCGATGCTAAATACCAATACATAGTCAGGTAATGGTTTGGATATATTTACTGGGGGAAAATGCCGTACTTACTGTGCACCTAGCCAACTGGCAGGAAAGCAGAGCAAGCCAACGCAGCAGGGAAGAGGGGCTTTCCCATGTGTGTCCTCACTCTTAAACTACCCTCCAGTCACCCTGTCCACGCCCTAGGGGGAGTGGCCAGGTACACCTGTAGCCAGCCCCAGGAGGCGTGGTCAGAGTGACCCCTACATAGCCCGGTGGTAATTTGCTTGCTTGGTGTGTGAAGGCCCAGTGTTTAATCTCTAGCCCAGGGGAAACAGAAACAAAACAGGATACCAATTCATTTAGCAAATATTGTCTGCAATAACAGTGACGCTAGTAGTCTTACAAGGCATCCTAAACCTTATGACTTAATATGAATTATATTCTCAGAGTAAGTTTGTGTGGCATACTGGTTATCTAGCCAGAGTTAGGGAGGTCCTATTCACATAGTAAAATTAAAACTCTTTGTTGTTTTAAAACATTCTGATGGAATAAGAAAGTTTTAAGTAATTTTAATGACATCTAATTTTCCTTTTTTGTGTGTCCTCAGAGTCTCAATACTTTGAAGATAGTGACGGTTTTGGTTGTCAAAATTGTTTTAGGGTCAGCATTTGCCTTCATTTATATTTACACGGCAGAGATGTACCCAACGACTATAAGGTAAGGTCTCATAATTTTTTTTTGTTGGATTCCTGTTACTTTCACTTTATGTCATTTCATCATATTTGGTCTTTAAATACAAATGTATTCTTTCCATGGATGTTCCCCCAGAACTCCGAGATATGGGAAAATTACATGATGATTTTAGTTTGACTTCAAGGCATTGTTTATAACTCATTAGCAAGGAAATTAAGGGGTTAATTTGAAGCAACACTTTTTTGGTTTTGTTATTTTTTGGGGGGGTGGGGTGGGGTGACAGGGTGTCTCTGTGCATCCTTGGCTGTCCCAGAACTTTTGGCTGTCCTTAACTCACAGAGATCCACCTGCCTCTGCCTCTGCCTCCCGAGGGCTGGCATTAAAGGCATGCATCACCATGTCTAGCTTGAAATAACACTATTAACCTAACAGCAAATGAAACAGGGTCTGCTGACTGTGTGTAGCACAAGGCTGCTTTTCTCAGATGTCTTTCTCAGGGTTCTGATGGTATCATATGCATTTGTTAGGGTGGGGGTGGCTGAAAAATAGACACTTTCTCATAGTTTGGTAGGCGCAAAGTCTCAGCTCAAAGTCGGCATATTGGAGGCCACTCCTGGCTTATCCCTGTCACCTTATCACCATGGCTTTACAAGGTCTAAGTTCTGTGGCCACTCTGGTGGCTCTTCACCTTCTTATGAGGTACCAGTTCTATTATTGAGAACTGTTATTTTAACATAACCTCTTCTTTAATGACTTTGTCTCCAAAGTCTAAGACACTGTGTGTATGAAGAGTAAAGACTACAGCATCTGCATTTTGAGGGGACACAGTTTAGCCCCTGACACCATGTCCATGGCTCCCTGAGATTACCTCATCAGAAACAACCCCAAGCTGTAAGAAACTCTAAGGCATCTGATACAAAAATCTCAGTCCTGGGTCTCCACACTGCACCTGCACACCCTCTAGGAGAGCAGGCTTTTAACCAAGTTTGCAGGTGATTCTGAGTTGTCGCTTGCTTTCTTGAAGACTGTCTTGGTGATCCAGGAGTCCAGGGCCCTTCCAGACCTTGGGAGATGCCTCCCACTATTTCCCATGAAAACGCCACGTAAACGACATAGGTCCTTTGGGAGTTCTGGTCAGGTGCTGGAGTCTCCTTTCGTCTCGGTTCCTTTGCTCTGTGTTGTTGCATGTCTCAGGGTTTCAATGGCTTTGACGAAACACCGTGACCAAAAAGCAACTTGAGCAAGAAAGGATAGATTTGGCTTACCCCTCCACATCACTGTTCATCATTGAAGGAAGTCAGGACAAGGACAGGATACAAGAAGCAGAGCTGATGCAGAGGCCATGGAGGGATGCTATTTACTGACTTGCTCCCCATGGCTTGCTCAGCCTCCTTTCTTATTGAACCCAGGACCACCAGCCCAGGGATGGTACCACTCACAATGGGCTGGGCCCTCCTCCATCAATCACTAATTAAGAAAAATGCCATAGTTGGATCTTAAGGAGTCATTTTCTCAACTGAGGTTCCCTTCTTCCTGATAACTCTAGTTTGCACGTTGAGTTGACATAAGACTAGCCAGCACACCACGGAAGAACATGCAGCCTTCATTGGTGTATCCTGTGACTCCCAAAGCTCTTACTGAAGCCCCTTGGTCTGGACAGGATAACTGAGGCCAGAGACATTACACATTTGCTGCCAGACACATAGTTGGGTGATGGGGGAGGTCCTTCTGTGTATATGTTTGTCTTATTGGTTAATAAATAAAGTACTTTTGGCCAATAGGGAAGCAAGTTAGGTGGGACTAGGAGTCGAGGAGGATTCTGGGAAATGTAGTAAAGAGAAGTCCTGTGATGCAGGCAGGAAGTGACATAGCAGGCAGACTCAGAATATAAGCAGGGACAAGCAGGAAATCGCTCTTTCCTTCCTTCCTCCTCCTCCTCCTCCTCCTCCTCCTCTCTTCCCTGGAGTCACCATGTGAGCGTCAGCAAGAGAGGGTGCATAAGGCTGATGTCCTCAATAAGGTAAGTTCTTATAAAATATATAGATTAATAGTTATGGTTGATAATTAAGACTGATCTAGCAGATAAGAAATCCTAGTCATCGGCCAGCAGCATTGTAACTAATATAAGTCTCTGTTATTTTGGGTGTCACATGGCAGCAGGGCTCAGGTGGCTGGCTGAAAGATTTATCGTTATGGTTGGGACCCTGAGATGTCAGGAAAGGGTCTTTCTCCAATGTGCTTCCAACCTTTGTCTGCAGAATCATCTTGAGTTTTAAAGTTTAAATAGTGATCAGTGTGAGAATAACACCGTGAAACGCCCGTGACCAACTTACCCCTCTAAAGATCTAGAATAGTTTCCTGTTGACAGTCCTCCCCAATCCTCTGAGGAACCTTTACCTATCACCCACTTAATTGAGTAGTAGTTTTCCTTCTTTCCATCCCTTCCTCCCTCCCCCATTCTTCCTCTCTCCCTTTCTCCCTCCTCTGTTTGTGTATAGACATTTCAACCCGGAACCTCACCCACGCTAGACAAGCGCTCTACCACTGAGCTGTATCCATAATCTCCTTACTGCCTCCTTTATTGTTGATTTTGAGAGAAGGTTTTGCTAAATTGCCCAGCCTGGCCTTGAACTTATGCTCCTCTTTCTTTAACCTCTCCAAGTGCTAGGATTACAGGCATTTACCATGACACCAGGAAGAAGTTTTTATTTCTAAGGAAAAAAATATTTATTTTTAGTGAGCCTATTTCTTGACCTATATATAAAAAAAAAATCTTACTGGTGACAAAGAAGAACCTGACATCTAGCTTTTCCAGAGGACATTAGTTAACTGTTCACCTAGTGGTACCCTGCTCACAATTCTGTTACTGCTGTGTGTGTGTGTGTGTGTGTGTGTGTGTGTGTGTGTGTGTGTGTGTGTGCCTAATAATAAATACACCTTCTTTACTCCTCAAAACGATTCTGTTGAGGCTGCTCCCATCGTCTCCAGTTTACACATTGTGGAGCTGAGATTAGCTTGTTAGCCAGAGGCACAAAGAACTCAGATCTACATTTCTGGATCCTCTCATTGTGTTAACAGATCCGGGCATTAGCAAGAGTTGGGCTGCTTGTCCTGAACTTTAGGAATGGAATAGGATAAAGTGTTCAGGGCAAGGAGTTCTGAGAGTCCTCTCAGATCACACAGGACAGTGGCAGCCCTATGCAGCTACACAATGGCAGACAGGATAGAATGCCAATCATGTAACGGGGCCACTGGGGATCCTGGCATAACACAGCACAGAGGTAGGTTATCTTCTTGCCAACTCAGGCTGGCACACTGATGGTGCAGAAAAGACAATGCCCTGCAAACCAGAGCACATCATTTGCTGTGGTCTCTGGGTGACTCTGAGCTCTTGCATGGATTTCTGCCCAGCCTGGGGGAAAAAGCCACGGGTCCCCCTAGTTCCAGATCTGTTCAGAGCATATGTATCTGCCGAGACAATATGTATTATAAGCAAAAAGATGGCAATCCAAACAAATCATGTTGGTTGGCATTACCATTATGTATATGATGGTATTTTAGACCATTTTTTATTTAGTTGGTTGGTTTATAGCCACAGGCACATGTCCTCAAAAATAAGCCAGAAAGGAAGGAAGGAAGGAAGGACAGAGGGAGTGAGGAGAGAAGGGAGGGAGGAGGAGAACCCAGAATATGAATATTTAATACAAGACATCTTTAACAAATTCTGTAGGGTTCCTGAACATGTTAGGATTGGGTGTGGAACTGCTTATGCATCAATTCTCAGAAGAAGGTCACATTTCATGTAAAATAATTTTCTTTCTAATAAAAAAACGGAGAAAAAAAAAGAATGTCACACTTTAGTAAGTTAGTTACTCACAAATGTGTATGACCTAGGAAAGATAAAGTACCATTTACTTTTTGTTGTTGTTGCTTCTTTGAGACAGAGTCTCTCACTGTAGTTTGGGGTGGGCTTAAACTTGTGGCAATACTCCTGTCTCACCTATCTCACCAAATCTGGGATTACAAACATGGATAGTCATGCCCAGCAGTATCAATGATTCAAAAAATGCACATTAAATCAGTCTTTGTTGGGCTGGTAATGTGGCTCAGTGGTGGAGTGTCTTTGTTAGACTTTTTAAAGTTTTCCCCAGTGACACACTTCATCTAGGGAGGCTCCACCTCCTAAATCCCATGCCTTCCTAAACAGTGCCACAAGCTGATGGAGATCAGGTGTTCAAACATAACAGCCCATAGGAGATGTTTCCTATTGAAACCACAGCATTCCTCCCTGGACCCTAAAATGCTCATGGCTGTTTCATGACTCGAAATATGTTTAGTTCAACCTGAAAAGTCTCTGTGGTCTTTAACAGTCACAATAGTGTTCCACAGTATCTCCTGAGACTCAAGGCAACCTGTTAACTGTGACCCACTGTAAAAACAAACAAAACCGAATTATCTACTTCCAGCATATGGTGGCATAGAATATATGTTCCCCTCCCCAAAGGGAGAAACTGAGGCATAGTGAATTACCAAAGCTAGCCTGAAACCCATCTGGGCAAACACCAGATTCTGTAGCTTCGTGTCCAGTGTCTAGACATTCATTTTTAAAAGTTCAGATGGCTCCACCCATCCAGCTGTGTTGTCTGCAGCACCCCGCCCCCCCCACACACACTTTCTCTTGTGCTAGTTGTACGTCTGTATGCAGCACTCCTTGGCATGGCATATGTTGCCTGGCCTCAGCGGCTCTCTGAAAACTGTGGAGGAAGAATTAATTCATGACTCTCTCAGTCTTGCATCTCTCATGCCTCCCCGAATCAGAATCATGTGAACTACACTGACAAGTTCTGCTTCCAGCTGTGGATGGAGGCGGCTGGGCAGTGGGGACCACAGTTCCAGCACCTCCCCTGTGCTGAAGCTGGTTGAAAACGTCCCTAGTAGTTGCTTTCCAGGAGCAGAAATGCCCTGGGGCTCCCGCATGGGGCTTTGCCCTCAAGGTGCTTTTCCTGTTCCTCAAGAGCAGGAGATTTCTCTGTAATAAAGCCTCTTTCTTAGCATGAGCCCTGGCTGTGCAGTTAAGCTTCCCAGTGTTCTTTTCCTCTCTAAACCACACAACTTTTGTTTACTTTCTGCCCTATTTATTGCTCATTTTACCTACAGATCTGCATGAGAGTAACCAATAATATATCATTGCTGTCCACATACTCAGTGTTAGGCTGTCATGGAATTCGTCCATTATTTTTAAATCTGGTCTTGTGTAAATTCTTAAAACATGAACAGAATGCAGCTGGATTCTTTGCTAAAAGACCACATGGATAGTTAGTTCTCAGCCCAATTCTCATTCCCCTCTCAATTCCTGAGCTAGGCATCTGTCATATGTAGGGCTTCTATTGCTCTGAGGAAAACACCATGACCAAAAATCAAGTTGGGGAGGAAAGAGTTTATTTGGCTCACACTTCAGCATTGCTGATCATCACTGAAGGAAGTCAGGACAGGAACTCAAACAGGACAGGATTCCGGAAGCAGGAGCTGATGCAGAGGCCATGGAGGGGTGCTGCTTACAGGCTTATTCCTCGTGGTTTGCTCAACCCACCTTCTTATAGAACCCAGGACCAACAGCCCAGAGATGGCACCACCCACCATGGCCTGGGGCCTCCCCCATTGAACACTAAATGAGAAAATGCCTTACATCTGCATCTCAAGGAGGCACTTCCTCTGCTGAGCTCCTTCCTCTGATGACTCTACAGCATCTACTAACCACTTGTCGCAGTGTTACTGTCTTGTAGACTCCCACTATAATGGCCCACTAGAGTCTTCTTGTAGCATTCAGTGGCTTTTTTAGTTCAGAGTTACAAATCCCCCCCCCAATTCCTTCCGCAGAACAAAGGCCTGAGGTTCACATGGTGAGGCTCACCACAGCAATGGTCCCACTTGTGACCAATTTCTTGGTGCTTGGTATTAGTTTCATTGCTGTTGCTATTATAAAAACCCCCAATGAAGTCCATTTTAAGAAGCCACGGAAGCAGGAGCATGAAGCTGGCCTGTACTGTTACAGCAGCAGTCCTTAAGAGAGAGCAAAAGGAGGTAAGGTTAGGCAATAAAACCTCAAAGCCTGCCCAGTTACATAGTTCCTCTGAGGCTCTAGTTCTTAAAGGCTCCATAACCTTCCAAAACAGTGCCACCAGCTGGGGATCAGTGTTGGAACATATGAGCCTGGGGGGGTATTTTGCATTCAGGCCGAAGCTTCCAGCATGTCTGAGAACAGGGGTTTGACCTGTAGCCTCATACAGAACTCACATCAGGTGGTTGACTGTGTTAAACCTGAAAATTGTGAGGAGAAAGACCAAATCCATATTGTCTAATTAAAGCAAGCTTTGTTAAATACTGGCCAGGAAGATGGATACTGACTAGGCCTCCCAGAGAATGGTACTCAATCAGGTCAGTTGGGCTCATAAAGGCAGAACCCACAAGGCTACGGTACTTCCTGCCTTTGTCCAATTGGGGCAAACACACATCCTGATGTATTTCCTGCCTATGTATCTCCCAGATATGTGTGATCAAGCACCCTGTACAGTGGGGACAACCAACCTTGTTTACTGAGGTGAAAACATGTGACTTGTTATCTGACAAGAACAACAGCCCCCAGCATTCCAGGAAGTTACCCGTCCTTGAGTCAAATCCTTGACTCTGTGGTGGGTACCTGTCCTTACAACTTCAGATTATAACTCTAACTCCAGGGGATCCAACACCTGCCTTCTTCTGGCTTCCCCGGTTGTGTGTTCGTGAGTGCACGCACACCAAAACAAAAAATAAAATCTTAAAGGTATTATTTGACATTAATAGACATCATAGACAAATATTTTGTTCTCCCAAGTTATCATACTCTTCCCTAAACAAATGTATCTGATCCTCAATATTGAGCTGGATCTGTATACATATGGGCCTCATTTAAATGGTAGATTCAAGCTGGATTTGCTTTTCTAATATGCGTGCTCATACACACACTATTCACAAGATGAAGGTAGAAGTCATAGTTGGTTTTGGAACCATCTGACTTATATCTGAGTTGTATTATTTCTCCTCATTGTGGGAGAGTGAGGAGGGGGTGGCAGGTGATGGATCTCTTACCCCTTTGCTTTATTTGTCTACTGTTGTTGTTACCAGTGTCTAAATTCTCCTGGTATTTTCAGGTGCTGGGCTTTGGGGAGCAGCAATATGGTGTCCCGAGTGGCAAGCATCCTTATCCCTTTCAGCGGGCATCTCACCAAATTCTGGATCATCCTGCCACAGGTCCTTTATCACTGTCTAGACACTGGGATAGCAGAGAGGTGGGGTAGCCAATTCTGTCATTTCTGTTTTTAATTTTTGGAGAACAATATAACTGTTGTATAATGGAGGTTTGTTGAAACAGGAGGGCTTACCAGTGGGTAAGTAGGAAGGTGGGATGGTTTTATCATCTACCAAGTGTCTTCAGCCCCTCTTAGCCTGGAGCCACCAGCATTTCAGCAGAAGGAGCTCTTCCCCATGTCACGTCTCAGGCCTCTGTCTCACTACCTAGCTCAACCCTTGCCTCTGCACACCCACAGTGGTCCCCTTGCTCTAGGAAAATTTTGGAGGCTGCCTGCTCCCTCAAAGAGTCTGTGGTGCCCTGAGAGACTTTTCATGGACGAGGCTCCCCTCTTGAGTTCTTGTGGCCCTGGAAATATGAGCTGTTGGGTGGGTTTGGAGAGCGAGAACAGCTGTGCTCAGAGCCCCATGGAGGGACTGAGACACTGGGAAGTGGGTGGGTCCTAACTGGGTGTACCTGGGTCTTGCAATCGGGAGGAATATGGAGCTGGGGAGGATGAGGGCAGGCATGGCGGTGCATGACGCTGCCATTCCAGGGACGTAGGACCCTCACATAGCCTCTTTGCTCCACACCCACTCTGTGCACTTGCTCCTCTCTACACTTCTCGTCTCTTTTAGCGCCACTTCTTTCTCTGCCCCTTAAGATTCCAACGTGCCCCTCCTCCACTCTGCTAAGTGCTCTCCTTTCTTCCAAGCTGCTAGCCTCATGACTATTCTGTCTGGATATCTTTGGAGCTGGGCAGTGATTTAAAGTCCATCCTCCTCCTGCCTCACACTTTTGGTCAAGGATGAGTCAATGACCTCAAGCTCAACACTTGGACATGGCTTTATTCACCCCATTGCTCTCTCCTACTTCACCTCAGTCATCACATCTCACATTTCCCCCCAAGAACCACCATCTTCTTGCCTGACTACTGACATATTTGTGCATATGTATAGTATGTGTGTGCAGGTACGGGTACACTTTGTATGTGTGTGTGTGTGCACGCACACACGTACTATGTGTGCAGAGGCCAGAGGTCGGCCTCATGTGTTCCTCAGAAGCCACTCATCTTTGAGGTACCATCACTCATTGACCTGGGGATTACCAAGTAGTCTAGGCTGGATGGACAGCCCGTCCCCAGGGTGCAGGCAAGACAAACATGATCTAATACCTCTAGCCTTTTTATGTGGATTTTTAGGAACAAATTGAAGTCTTTGTGCTTGTGTAGATAACATTTTATTAACTGTACTTTCTCTTCAACTGCATTCTAATAATTTTTTTTTGGTAAAATACACTAGCATAACCTCAGAAGAAAATAAAGTGTTGAGTCCCTCCCCACCCAGTATCATCTTGTACATACAAGTAGTATGTGAATTCCTCTCTGGGAATCAATGGCCTTTTGTAGTGCTACCAGGACGCGCAGTACAGTCTGCTTCTTTGGGGTTCTAGAGCCCCGCCTCTTTCACCAGCTGACTCTGAGGTGGAGAAATAGCTTTGGTCAGTGTGGCTTGCTTTTCTCCCACTCTGGATGCTGCTCTTGGTTGGGGACCATCCTGTATTTAAATATTAAATGAAGTTGTGGCCACAGAGTACATGATAAAGGAGGTGAGTTATCTCTAAGCTCCAAATGGTTATGCAGAGTGAAAAGTATATGCTCAAGTACAAAGTAAATCACAAAGATGATAAGATGATTCACATGAAATCGGTCATCCTTGGCAATAACTGCCTAATGCTGAAGAAATGAGAATTAAGCAGTACACCATCTTGTTGACAGCCAATGTTCACAATTACAGTGGCACAGAAAACACTACAATAAATACCCAGCTCTTATTGATCCAAGTGATTTTGAAGTTATTGATAGTTTACCAGGACAGATTGGAATAAAGTCAGCTCTGCAAGTTTTAAGTGCAATAGGACTCAAGAGAACTTATTTTTAGGAAAAGAAAGAACATAGGCTACCTGCTGTGCTTAGAAGATGTTCAGGAAAAATCCACCACCCATTTTAAGGCATGAGATTTTTGTGAGAGCCTCTCCTTTGAGCTACCATTTTGTTTCTTAGAGGAAGGGAAGAAGGGAAGGAGGAAAGAGGGGAAGGAGAGAGATCAAAATGTTCTTTAAAACAAGGAGCCAAACTCACAAAGAGAAGACAGACAAGGGCTGGAGAGATGGCTCAGAGGTTAAGAGCACTGGCTGCTCTTCCAGAGGTCTTGAGTTCAATTCCCAGCAACCACATGGTGGCTCACAACCATCTATTATGAGATCTGGTGCCCTCTTCTTGTCTGCAGGGATACGTGCAGACAGAATAATGTATACATAATTAATAAATAAATATTAAAAAAAGAAGACAGACAAATCCATAAAGGCTAACTGCTATAGATTCACACAAAGAATTAAACAATTGTAGGGAAGGACATTTGCAAGGGTATTTGAAGGATTATGGAAGAAAAGAGGTTTTTCATTTAACAGATTCTCAGGTGGGCTTAGTTTTAAGTGCTTTGCCAATATTAATTTTTTGTTTATACAGATTAATTTTTGTTTTATAACAGATACAACTGTTTCCTCCATTTACAAGAAAGGAGAAAGACTAGCAGAAAATAATTACTAGCCAAGGTTTCTCACAATAAAAGAGTGTGGTGGTTTGAATGAGAATGGCCCCCATAGGCTTTTACATTTAAATGCTTGGTCACCAGGAAGCAGCACTATTTGAAAGGATTAGGAGGTGTGGCCTTGTTGGAGGAAGTGTGTCACTGTGGCTGGGCTTTGGGGTTTCAAAAGCTCAAGCCAGGTTCAGTGTCTCACTCTTCCTGCTGCTTACAGATCTGGATGTAGAACTCTCAGCAGTTCCTACAGCACCATGTCTGCCTGTGTGCCACCATGTTCCCCACCATGATGATAATGGACTAAATCTCCAAAACTGTAAGCAAGCCCAAATTAAATGCCTTCTGTTATAAGACTTGCATTGTGATGGTGTCTCTTCACAGCAATAGAACATTGGCTGAAACAAAAGTTGGTACCAGGGCGTGGGTATTATTGTGATAGGCCTGATCATGATGCTTGTTGGCAGAACGTAGACTTTGGATTAGGAAAGCAGTTGAACATTTTAAGTAGGACTTAATGGGCCATACTAGTAGGAGTATGGAAGACAGTGTTGCTGAGATCAATGTATAATGGCCCAGCTATTACAGAGGTTTCAGATGGGAAGAAAATTAGTACATGGCCTAGAGATTGTTCCTGTGATATTTTGTTGAAGAATGTGTCTGCCTCAGGCTTAATTGAAGAGTTTTGTATTAATGGTATTGGCAGAGATTTCAAGAAAGCCTAGTGTTGACTGTGTAATATTGTTATGAGTAGCCAGTTTCAAGCAGATCTATAAAGAAAAGAAGCAATCTGAACAAGGAAAAATACAAAATGTACAGTTTGATGATAAGAGGAGCACCATGAAATGTAATGGAGATAAGTCCAGTGCTAAAGGAGATAAAAAGTTTAAAGAAAAGACTGATGCTAAATGAAATAAAAGGAGCGGTGGCCTCAGGGCAAGACGCCACTCAGCTAAGCCTCCATCTTGTGAAAAGGAATTAAATGAAAGTGTAAGCAGTGAAGTGAAGGAAACCATCAAAAATAGAAAGTTGATGAAAAAGTATTTGAATGAGGGGGCCAAGTTCCAGTTCCTTCAAGCAGCAGAACTTGGCAGCTTCAGCCACGTGATTTTGGCTCAAGGGTCAAGGATATAATAAAAGGGTTGTGGAATTTTCCTCTGAAGCTAAGGAAAGCCACTGAGGCCATGTCCCAGGGATGTCCCTGCATGGGGGCCCAGAGAGGCCATTGTGGCCATTGTGTGAAGCTGTGAAGGTGAAGCTCGAATTGTGCTGGAGACACCAAGGTGTTGGAGATACTATAGTCATGGAATACCTGCCAAGGAAAGCTGCTAACAGGGAGCAGAACCAGCACAAGAGACAGAAGTGTGTTACTGTCAACAAAGTTAGAAGCAGTTGAAGTTTTGAAGAGCTTTTTAACGTCAGACATGGAGATACAGAATTTGGAGTTTGCCCAGCTGGTTTTCAGTCTTGCTTTGATCCAGTATTTCCTCACTATGCCCCCTTTCCCCACTTTTGCAATGATAATGGGTATCCTTTGCCATTATATGTTGAAAGTATGTGATCTGCTTTTTGGTTTTGATGTGTGTGTGTGGGGGGGGGGAAGGGGTACAGTTAAGAGATTGCCATGAATCTCAGAAGAAACTTTGAACTTCTAAACAGTGTTGAGTGCTGTTGGCTTTTCTTTTACTCTAGTCCCACATTGGAATGCCAAAATGTTGTTGGTTGTTTTACTCTTTTTTACTCTTTGCTCTTCTCTCTTTTGTGGGCCCCACCACCCACTCCCAAATAAATCACACACGGAGGATTATTCTCAGTTATAAAAACCTGGCCTAGCTTGGCTTGTTTCTTGCCAGCTTTCTTAACTTAAATTATCCTGACTACCTTTTTGCCTCTGGGCTTTTCCCTTTTCTTACTTCTGTATATCTTACTTTCGCTCTTGCTCCATGACGGCTGGGTGGCTGGGTGGCTGGCCCCTGACATCCTCCTTGTTAGTTTTCTACTTAAATTAGAAGTAAGGCACAAGATGAGACTTGGACTATAGAGAATACATTAACCAGTTTATTATAGGCCCGGCAGAGCAGATGGAGTAAGAGAGAAGAGAGACAGACAGAAGAGGAAGAGAGAGAAGCATAAGAGAGACAGAGTTAATGGCTGACCGCCATGGTTGGCTGCTAGAGAGAGAGGAGGAGAAGCGGGAGGAAGTTGGAGCTTTTAAAGGGAAGACTGAGCATGCGCATGCACACTGAGGTTCCACGCATGTGCAACATCCTCACGCAGGCCGCAGTGTGTGATGGGTGATGTGGTGGCTTAGCAGTCCCTGTGCATGTTGTCTTAAGGAGGTATGGGCAGGTCAGCATTAATGCCTGAACCTTTCGCTCCTCTCCTTGTTCTCTCTTGCTTCTTTCTCTCTCTCTCTCTCTCTCTCTCTCTCTCTCTCTCTCTCTCACTCCCAGATTTCTCTTCCTATTTATTCTCTCTGCCAGCCTATCCTTTTCTCCTACCTCGCCATTGGCTGTTCAGGTCTTTATTAGACCATCAGGTATTTTAGACAGGCAAAGAATCACAGCTTGACATAGTTAAATAAATGCAGCATAAACAAAAGCAACACATCTTTACAAATATTCCAGAGCATAAAAAATGTAATACACTTTAAAATAGTTTTCCACAACAGTTGAGACTGTGATAGACTGTGGGGATTTTGAATGCATTTTCGCACTGTGGTATGGCTACATGTAGAGAACCAAAATGTCTTGTGCATACAGATAAGTTCTGGAGAAGCTAGGAAGGTTAAACACAGTTTACCTCTTCAATGGAATGAGGTATGTAGTTACTTTTCCTGGAATGCCAAGAGTGATGTAGTTTTACAAGCTGATGATCCTTTGCTGCCTGATGAGACAGGGTCTGCCCATATCTTCCAGAATTTATGTTTTTTACTTATCCCAGACTGCCCGCCCAGCCCCAAATCTTGAGCATTGGTTTTAGACCATAAAAATCCATTTTTATGAGTGAAGTCATTTGTACTTTACAAGAGCTTGAGTGACTTCTATGTTATCTTAGGGCCAGAACACTGATTAAGACATAGAACGTGGACTGCAGCCCCCACACCAGTTCTCTGTTACATTAGCCAACCAAACAAGAGAATGGTGCTAAAGGTATATAGCTGCAGCTACTTCCCCTCCACTTCCTGGCCCTGAGGGGACCCTTCTCCTGGACAGCTTCTGGCTGCAGGGGTTCATCAATGTTTACTGGAGCCCTCATGTGAATGTGCCTTTGTTGGGTATAATAGACGCTGCTTGCTGTGTGGAATGAGTTTTACAAAATGACTACTTTTTCCATTCAGTTTGTTTGTTGGTGTTGTTGGGGAGCCAGTGTTTTCACTTTGAGTGATGGAGAACAGTAATTGAGAGGCCTTTAGTTTCTTCTTTGAATAGAGGTCCCCGAGAATCATTTGTTTTGGTGCTCATGTTATTACTTAATCTGACAAAAGGTAAACAATGAATTCATTTTTCTGAGCTCATAGGCTCACTTGGCAAAGGTTTTTTTTTGGGGGGGGAGGGAGGAAAGAATTACTTTGGCTCACTGTTTTAGAGTCCACGATAATTTGGTCTTGAGCACTTTGGTGGTATGTGGTGAAGGTGGTACTTCTGGGTGGCAGGAAGCAGAGAGAACCCCAACTGTATTTTGAGTGTTGATGTTAAACTAACCACCCTGTAACAACCCCCCCCAAAAAAAAAAAAAAAAAAAAAAAAAAAAAAAAAAGATCAAGAATGAAAGAAATAGCCTTTCTCCCAAGACTTCTCATTAGTGGAGAGTGCAGAAGAGCTAGCATTGCCTGCCAGAGATATGGCTGCCAGGGCATGGGAGAGATCTGCTAACCCAGGCTAGCATCAAAGAGACTTCCTATAGGAAGGGACCTTGTCTGTATACAGGGGCCAGGAAGCGTTAACTGGGACTCTCTCTCTCTCTCTCTCTTTCTCTCTCTCTCTCTCTCCCTCTCTCCCTCACCCTCTCCCTCTCCCTGCTCCCCTCTCTCTTCAGGCACAAAGAATAGAAAAGCAGAGGATTGGAGGGAAAAGAGCACTGGGCACAGGTACTGTGGCTAATAGCTGTTGCACAGAGCCTGGGGAGACAGCAAACAGCCCAGAATAGCATCTTCTGTGATAACATTCAAACTACATGTGGGAAAGTCACATCCACAGTCTCTGGTGGTTCTTGGTGGCCTGGTGGGTGTCTGAGGCCAGGAAGAGTCACTGTAAGAGCTGGAGGGATCCCAGGAGAAAGAGAGACCTGTCAATACTATGTGGGCAGGGTGCCCAAAAGACAGCAAGGATGAGACCCTGTGGTGGGTGCTCCTCCACGGCTGGAGCTCAGAGATGCAGAGCCCCAGGAGCAAAGATGTTAAGGTATGGTAGGAAGAAAAAGCCTGGAGGAGACTGAAGAGCAAACAGGAGTAGTGACAGAGCTCCACAGGGCAGGGGTGGTGAGGGCAGCAGCTAGGACAGAGCAGGACAGGAACCTGTCCCTGACTGCCTGGGAAGATCAGCTTGTGGGGCCAGGAGAGCGGAGAAGGACCTGGGGACAGGGTGGGCAAGGGGCCTCAGATGCATGTACTGCTTGACAGGCTATCACGGCAGGAATGGAAGAACCTTGAACATGTCTGTCACAAGACAGTAACAGTGACAGCTGGTGTGTATGGGTAGTTTATGATGAGCCAGGCACTGTTCCCAGCTTTAAATATACCAATACCTCAGCAGTCCTGGTAGCAGGTACTGCCTTTTTATGTGTTCCTGTAGCTACATGCACAGAGGTTGATGTGTGGAGGCCAGAGGTTGTTACCAGGTGCCTTCCTCAACTATTCCCCACCTTTTAAAGACGTTTGTGGATGTGTGATGTGTGCATATGGGCATGAACACCACAGTTAGTGTGCAGAGGTCAAAGGGCAGCTTCATAGCACCAGTCCTCTCTTCCCACCTTCACATGGATCCTGGGGATTTGGCTCAGGTTGTCAGGTTTGTGTGGCGAGCACCTTTACACGCTGATCCACATTGCTGGCCCTCCACATTGTATTTTGAGACAGGGTTTTCTCACTGAACTGTGTGGTGATATATTATGTATGATTTATTAAAGCTTGCCTGAGGATTCACAAAGCAAAGTCAGCCTCAAACTATAGAAGCCAGGCACACACCTTTAATCCCAACAGCCAGAATCTAGGAGGTGGTGTTACACACCTTTAATCCTAGGGCTCAGGAATAAGAGGTAGACAGATCTCTGTGAGTTCAAGGCCACCCAGATCTACACAAGATTGATCCAGTCCTAAAGAGAAACAGGTCACACAAAGATGATCTCAGCACGTGGGATCACACGCCTTTAATCCCACCCAGCACTAGATGGGTATAAAAGATAGGAGCAGGGTCTTCAGTAGTCAGTATCAGACATTCATTTTCCAGCCACATTGAGGATAGGAAGACATTCAGTCTCAGGATTTTCCAGCCATGCTAAGGAGAGGCAGCAGGATCAGCCCTTTCAGCATGAGGTAAAGGTAAAAGCTAGTGACCCGCTACTTTGTGTCTCTGACCTTCAGCTTGAAGCTTGAACCCCCAAGCAGTCTCTGGGTCTTTTATTTTTTGTGTTACAGAAGTGGAGCTTACTGACTTGACTAGGCAATGCTCCAGGCAGGGATCCCGCTGTCTCCAGTTCCCCTGTGCTGGAATGATGGGTGCATGCTGTCCCACCTGGCTGTTTTTTTTTTTTTTTTTTTTTTTCTTAATGTGTGTGCTTGGGATCCCCTCAAGTCCTCAAGCTTTTGCAGCAGGCATTATTGATTGAGCTCTTTCCCCAGCCCCAGTGGACGCTGTTCTGAGTTCCATCTTATAGATTAGGAAACTAAGAAGCCAAGATATTAAGTAGCTTACGAAAGATCACAGGGATGCTGAGTGACAAGAACCCAAGCAGAGTGGGTACGTGGGTTATAATGGCTTAAGATTGGTTTCTACTGAGGGAGACAACCACCAGGAAGGAGGGGGGTCTACTGGAGAGGGTGACAAAGGTGGCTGAGGGGTAAGTGACTAAAGAGCCTAACTAGAACAGATAGATTTGTCGGAGCAGGAGGATTGAGGGGTGGAGGCCTGTGGGGTGTTTTGAAGTTTGTGGGGTGGTGGGAGCTGGTCAGGGCAGCAGGGTGGAGGAAGAATTGGGGACTTGGGTGGTCTACTGCCTGCCTAGCAATTATTGCTACATGGCATGGTGAGGAAGTGTGCCTGGAATCCCAGAGTTCTGGAGGTGCAGGCAGGAGGATTATGAATTTGAGGCTAGCCTAGGCTGCACAGTGAGATTTTCTAGGAAGTCAGATGCACACTTCCTCACCATGCAGTGTGGCAATTTCATTTTTGCTTTGTCTCCCCAATCTCTGTAGGCTCTGACTCATTAAAGTTTCATTTATTTATTTGTCCCTCTTCTTGATCATTTACTGGTGTGATGGCTAAAAAGACTTCTTGGTGCCTACTACCTGTTTGTCCCTGGAATATAAGTTCTCAGTAACTCTGACTCAGTGACCCCCCACACACACACACCCAGAGATGTAGCCATGGCCATCTACATATTATGTTATGGCTAACTGATTTTGGGCTCTGTAACCTGCTTATGGAGACATTCGGGTTGCCTTGACTACCTAATCTTAGCAGAGTAAAACAGCTCATGGCTGGATTGTGTGGATACTCAAGGTCTTCTTGTGTTTGTCTCTTTTAAAAGTCCTCCCCGCCCTCAACCCCACCCCACTTCTCATGGGGATCTCAAGTTTGGCTCAGAGACTGCAGTCCTGCTAGCAGTAATCAATACACCCTTTAATTATAGTTGGATTGGGTCTGTGGTCTTTTCCCAGGGGTCAGGAACTCCATAATACTGGAAGATACCATATACTAGTCCCTGGAACATGGACAGGGCTGATGAACCTGGTTTCTCTACACTCTGGGGTCTAGAAACAATGCGGGGCCTTTTTTTTTTTTGTATGTCGAGCCTCCAAGGGAAATAATGCAGCAGGAGCTGGCACTCCTTGGCTAGATGTCCCTTCAGTGGTTTGTGACTGAGTGAATTGAGATTAAGCCTCGATGGTGCTAAAATGAACTACCCTGGCACAAACAACGTAAAGACCTCAGCAAGGAACAAACACACTAATTTCTAACGTCAATCCAAACTCTATTGCCCTCGGAAAAAAGGGTTCAGTGAGTTCTTATTCTCTGAAGGGTTCATTTCTTTTGTGTGTGTCACTTACTATTATTGTTATTTTTTAAACATTTCTTCTAGATTTTATTTGGGATCCTGGCCATACTGAGTGGACTGTTGTCACTGAGTCTTCCAGAAACCCGCAACAAACCATTGGCATCTACTTTGGAGACAACTCAACGGCGGGTGTGGGTGCAGGTGCCAGAGAACAAGGATAGTTTAGGGGAAGCCCCTTCTGAAGCCGAGATGGGTGGTCCAGGCAGAGCCCCTCCCACCGCGGAGCCTGGTAGTCCGGGCTAAGCCCCTCCCACAGCTGAGAACACTGAGACACGGAAATGACTAACCTGGGAGATCCTGATTGTGATGAGTCGCCCATGGCACCCAGGACTTGGGACGTTGCCAGGGGTGACTTTCTTCTGTTAGAGAGATGTTAATCGGACCTCCCACAAGTTATTTATGTATCTGCATAAAAATGTTGTGAGAAAGTTTTAAACAAGTGTTTTGTAAAGGTCAATGAAATAAAAAACCAGTATGAGAATTCTAATTCTTTTTAAGCTCTGGGTTGTTACTTTTTTGTCCATCGTTTACTTTTCTTTGTGTTGGTTTCCCTCACCGCCCCTTGCCTTGCTAAGGCACAGGTTTCAGGGATACTGGAGGCACAGGTTTCAGGGATACTGGGTGTTTCTATGGGTACCAGTGCTCCGGAACCTTCCCTCCCCAACACTTCCATCTAGGAAGGGGGCATGTGAGAATTTCTCTTTCTTCTTGGTTCCCCATCATTACCTCTCTTCTTTCCTTTCTTTTTGATTTTATTTTTAAGTCTTCAGGTTTTAAAAGTTTATTTTATTCTTTTTAAAATAATCTTATTTTACGTACCAATCCCAGTTCCTTCTCCCTCCTGTCCTCCCTCCCCTGTCACCATCTTTTTGTTTTTGTTTTTTTTTTAAGGACAGAGTATCACACTATAGCCTATGCTGGTTCCAAGCTTATAATCCTTTTGCCTCAGCCTTCTGAGTGCTGACAGTAGGAGAATGACCCACCACACACCAGGCTTATGAGTGTTTGGTTTGTTTGTTTGTTTGTTTTACATAGCACCTTGAAAACTCTGATGTGCTTTCTTTGTGAGTCCTTTGCTAAAGGATGTTTGCCTTTAGGACGAAATCATAAGAAACCAGAATTACAAAAGGATGTCTTGCTTTCCAGTGCACTTGAAGGTGCAAACCAGCAAGCTCAGCGGTGGCCCAGTTACATCTGCTAGGGGCCAGGAAACAAGATTTTAGTCTGATCTTCTCTTCCCAAGTTTACTAAGTTCTGGCTGTAGGTTTATTGGACAGCACAGAGAAACGCTGGCATGTTAGCACATTGTGTGCATGGTGCAGTTAACACAGCATTCAGGGAGACTGACTTTAACTCATATGTCTTCCTGTTTCTTAAGGGAACATATATGGAGGCTGACAGAGTCTCAGCAGTTAAGAACACTCACTGCTCTAGCAGAATGGCTGGGTTCAGTTCCCAGCACTCACAACGCTGCTAACAACCATCTGGAACTCAAATTCCAGAGGACCTGATGCTCTCATTCCATCTCCGTGGGTACTGCATGCAAGCGGTGCATGGGAAGACATGGAGGCAAAACAGCCATACATGTAAGATAGAAATCAATACACCTTTAAAAGAATTCTCATTAAAAATAATTTTTAAATTTATCTTATTTTTATTTACGAAAAATTGTCTCTTAACCTCACTTTAAACTAAGGTCTTTTGAAAATAGTTTAACCTTTGTAAAATAAAAGGTAAAATAAACAAAAAATGTTTTCTCCTCTTATGAAACAGGCAAAATAAAACACACAGGGACAAGGAGAGAGAAGAGCGTCTCAGGGTTTCCACTGCTGTGATAAAAATGCCAGGACCAAGAGTAACTTGGGGAAGGGAAATCCTGTTTAGAGGTCCTGCTTGGGTCAGAGTGGTCAGAGTGACCACTCTGGGTTTAAGTAAGAGGGAGGCGCGCACACAGGCCCCTTTTCTCTCTTCCACCTGGCTGAGCAAACAAGGAGGCAGTTTGTGCAAACCTGGTCACTGGCTACCTTGCATGAGTACTATCACTTAATAAACTACCTGTTATCTATCTAGTTCTGACTCCACATTGCATTCGGCTTTAGGGTTTGTTTCAGCTTACAGTTCCCAGTCACTGAGGGAAGTCAGGGCAGAAATTTGTAGGCAGGAGCTGATGCAGAGACCACCGAGGGGTGCTGCTTACTGGCTGGCTCCCCAAGGCTTCCTCAGCCTGGTTTCTTACAGAACCTAGGACCTCCTGCCCAGGGATGTCACCTCCTGCAATGGGCTGGGCCCTCCCCATCAATCACTAATTAAGAAAATGCTGCAGCTTGATCTTACAGAGGTATTTTCTCAGTTGAGGCTCCCTCCTTTCAGATGACTCCAACTTGTGTCAAACTGACAAAACTAGCCAGCACACTGTTTGCCTGAGTTATCTTTTAATGCCTCTTAATGAAATATAATTTCACTCAAAAAGGTCTTGGATATTTTTGATTATATATGTTATATGAAATTTAATTGTATATATAAATTATTTATATATTATTGTTTCAGAATTTCACATGTACTTAGGATATGTTTTGATTAGACCCAACCCGTCACCCCCCTAACTCTTCCCCTAAGCCCTGCACCAGTTTTCCTTCTCAACTTCACTTCTTTTGTTAAACCCACTGAGTTCACATCCTGCTCCAGGTATGTGCACATACTCCATCTACTGGAGCAGGGGTAGCCTGTCAGGGCCTGCATTCTGGAGGGAAATGTGCTCTGCCTCTCACTGCAGCTGTCAATTGCCAACAGCTCCTCAGCCAGAGGTGAAACTTCAAAAGCCCCTCTCCCATGCTCGCAGGGTGGTTTTGGGCAGCTTGGTCTTGTGCAAATCTTGTGTATGCAGCTACAGTCATTTTGAGTATGAGTATGCAATGGCCTTGTTATGTCCAGAAAACACTGTTTTTTAGTGGCCATCTGCTACCCCTGGCTCTTACAATCTTTCTTCACTCTCTTAAAGATAGTCTCTAAGCCTTGGGGAAAAAAGATGTGATGTATGTATTTTCCAGTTAGGGCTGAGCGAGGGCAAAGGGCAGATGCATGTGGGGGGGGGCAGGTAGCTGGGGAGATGGGTGGGATCATGACACATGTTGTGAGGGCCTCAGGGAATCAGTGAAAGTCAATTAAAAAAAGAAAGAGTAACCCATGGCTGGGACTGGGCTTTTTGTGTAGCAGTCTATGATGTCTGAGAAGGGCGTTACCCACCCCTGAGTGAGGAACTCAGTTTAAACTCTGAATGAATTGCATGTATGTGTTTAATGAGACGTCTACAGTAGTCAGTTTCCATATGACTTTTCCCAAGGTCTTTAGTGTGAGTTTCTGCTCTGTATCCCTTTGTATTCCCTGTCCTCCTGACTGCTACCTCACTTAGCCTCTGTTGCCCTCTTTCCTTCTTTGCATCATCTGTGTCTGTGCCCCTCCCTTGAAATACCCCCAATGGCTCCTACTTTCCCAGCCTCTGTGACTGCTCCAACTTAAAAACATCTAAAGATTCAAAGATGGAATCCACTTCAAGTTGCTGGCACAGATAAGGACTGTCTGAATCAGACTCCAGCCGTACAGGAATCGGCACCAACAATTGGCAAATGGGACCTTGTGAGACCAAAAGCTTCTGTGTAGCAAAGGGCACCATCATGAAGTGAAAAGGCAGACTAAAGGAGGGGAAATGTTTGCCAGTCATGCATCCGATGGAGTGTTAGTCTCTAGATCATGCAAAAGGACTCTCAACATCAAGAGGACAGCCCAGTTTTTAAAAATGGGCCATGTAACTAAATAGTTCCCCAAAGAAGTATAATCAGCTAAAAAACTATTCTTAAAAATATTCAGCATTCATAGCCATAAGGGAAGTGAAAACTTAAAATCACTTTGAGATTTCATCTTACCCCAATCAGAATGGCTAAAATTAAAAACAAACACCCCCCCCCCTAATGATAAGTCTTTTCGCCAGCCGCAGAGTTCTGATGCCACATTAGGGCCCCCAAATAACACACAGAAATTAATATTAGTTACAGTGCTGCTGGCCGATGACTAGGATTTCTTATTTGCTAGCTCAGTCTTTTTTTTTTTTTTTTTTAAGATTTTATTTATTTATTATGTCTTCTGCCAGCAGAGGGCACCCGATCTCATTCAAAGTGGCTGGGAGCCACCATGTGGGTGCTGGGAATTGAACTCAGGACCTCTGGAAGAACAGTCAGTGCTCTTAACCGATGAGCCATCTCTCCAGTCCAAGCTAGCTCATTATTAATTATCAACCATAACTACCTATCTATATATTTTTATAAGGACTTATCTTACTGAGGATGCTGGCCTTATGCACTGGCCTTCCTGGGATCACATGGCGACTCCCTCTACTACATTTCCCAGAATCATCCTCCTCTCCTAGTCCTGCCTATCTTTTTGTTGTTGTTGTTGTTGTTTTGTTTTTCGAGGCAGGGTTTCTCTGTGTAGCTTTGGAGCCTGTCCTGGAATTCTCTCTGTAGACCAGGCTGGCCTCTGCCTCCTAAGTGCTTGGATTAAAGGTGTACACCACCAACGCCCGGCCAGTCCTGCCTATCTTGCTTCCCTATTTGGCAACAGTACTTTATTTATCAACCAATAAGACAAACATATACACAGATGGACCTCCCCCATCACCACCACCCCCAGCCCTATCATCCTAAACAAAACAAAAAACGAGTAACAACAAATGCTGTCACAGACACAGGGAAAGGGTAAGTGTGGGCTCTAATCCCGTATGTCCTGGGCCCATTTAAGAGGAAATGGGTACACACACACACACACACACACACACACACACACACACACACACTCACTCACCATTGGTGGGAGTGTAAAATGGTGGGCCATTGCTGAAATCAGCATGAATGGCTCTCAGAAAGCTAGATAGAGACCTGACATAGGACCCAGCTATTCTACTTTGGGCATACCCTCAGGGGAGTATCTTACTGGAGAGATACTCATCTATGTTCACTGCCACTCCAGTCACAATCAGCAGGGAACAGCCTGTTCATCAGTTGATAAATGGACGATGAAAATGTGGTACATGTACACACTGGAATTTTATTTTTCCTTAAAATATAAAGTTTGCAGGAAAAGGAATGGAGTTGGGAATAGTAATATTTAGTTATATTTATTCCTAGATGTTAATTTTCGTGACAACTAAAACTGCCCAGGTTTCTAATGTTGGCATTTCTAACTGCACATAGCTGATGGAAAATAATTTTATCAGTTTTATTTATTTATTTTGTCTATTGAGACAGAGTTAAATGTAGCCCAGGCTGGCTTCAAGCTCTATAAGCAGCTGAGGATGGCCTTGAACTCATGATCCTGCCTCCACCTCCCATGCACTATATTATAGGCACGTCTGGAGGGAATTAGATTAATTTTTATATGTTAACCTTATATTTAGCAACTTTGATAAGTATTTTTAATTAAG